CACAATCCCTTCTCCTCATTCTCCTCTTGGGATTTTGGGCACACACACACACACACACATACACACACGAGTCCAGTGTGAGTTTAAGCCACGAGGTCTGGGACCTGAACTGCAGTCGACTATATGGGAGACCAACAACAGAGCCATTATGCCATCTGCTGGTCCCAATGTGTCGTAAATTTAATTCATTTGTTTATTACGGGCTAATGAAAAGAATACAGGAGCCCACTAAGTGGCATGGTGGTTGTGGAGCTTAACTCCCACATGGCCAACTGTGGTTCAAATCTTGAACCTGGTGACTGGCTTTCTCACTTTCCTCTTTTCTCTCTCCAGTAAAATTAAAAAAAAAAAAAAAAAAAAAGACAAGTAAAATTTTAGAAAAATACAGATTTTGTGTATCGGCTTATAAAATTTGGTCAAGTTGGGACCAGCAGATTGCATAATGGCTATGTCGCTGTACTCCCATGTAGTCGACCAGTTCTAGTCCCGGACCTGGTTGCTTAAATCCATGCCGGGTGCATGTGCGTGCGTGCGCAAGATCCTGAGAGGAGAATGGAGGAAAAGGGATTGTGGCGTGGCCATCCCCCCTGGGGGGTGATTTCTTGCTTTCGGTCTGTCTGTCTCTGGCGAGCATATGAGCCATATAGCAAAAACCTCGAAAATATTTTAAAATTGGTCAAGTAACCAGTTTTTTTTAAAGTTTTCTCTCTTATAACATGAAATAATGAAATAATAGAATTGTTTCCTTATAAACTAAAACATGTAAATGTAATAGCTCCTTTAAAATTAAAAACACTGGGACCAACAAATGGCGTAATGGCTATGTCACTGGACTCCCATGTCGTCGACCGTGGTTCAAGTCCCGGACCCAGTGACTTAAACTCACACTGGGCGCATATGTGTGTGTCCCCGAGAATGGAGAAGGAATTGCGGCGTAGCCATCCCCCCTGGGGGGTGATTTCTCGCTTTCTGTCTTTTTTTCTGGTGAGCACACACGTTCTATAGCAAAAACCTCTTCGAAAAAATTAAATTAAATTAAAATCACTTAACTATAGGTAGTTTATCAGTGCAAATTATCGTGCAGCTAAAATATGTGCTAGTCCATGGGGCATGCAAGTAGTAGCATGGTGGTTAAGGCGCTGGACTCTACATGGCTGACTACAGTTCAAGTTCTGGACCTGGCAGCTTGACTGCGCTCTCACTCTCTGGTCAAATTAAAAAATAAGTAACTATTAAAAAACAAAATTGCCAGTCCAACCTGGGCTGGCTGGATCCCATGCGGTCAATTATGTGACCTGAAACCAGCTGCTTGAAAAAAACATGCCATCTGGGTGTGCAGTGCCCAGAAACCCCACAAAGGAAGAGGAATGGAGGAGACAGAATTGCAGTATAGGGTGCATGGGAGATCGGGTGTTTTTTCATTTTCCATCTCTCCCTGTCATTCACAAGCACCTTCTAGTAAGTAAAAAGAAAAGAAGGGGGCCAAGAGGCAGCGTGGGGTTAGGTTGTTGGATTCCCACATCGTCAATCAACTGTGGCTCAAGTCCAGGACCTGGTGGCTTTCTCTCTCTCTTTAGCAAATTAAAAAACAAGAGACCAGCAGTTGGCATAATGGTTATATCACTGAACTCCCATGTAGTCGGCTGCAGTGGGAGTCCCTGATGCAGTGGCTTAAACTCACTTTGGGCGCATGTGCATGCGTGCCCAATGTCCTGAGAGGAGCACGGAGGAGAAGCGATTGTGGCATAGTCATCCCCCAGGGGGTGATTTCTCACTTTCTGTCTCTGTCTTTCTGGGTAACACATGTGCCAAAATCTCTTTCTAAAAAAATAAATAAATAACAATTAAAATATTAAATAAGAAACCAGGAGATGGCATAATGGTTACATAGTTGGACTCCCACGTAGTCAATTGTGGTTCAAGTTCCAGACCTGGTGGCTTAAAACTCACACCGAGTAAGTATACATGCATGCCCAAAAACCCAAATGGAGATTGGAGGAGAAGGGTGTGCAGAGTGTCCTTCCCCCAGGTGGAGTGATTTCTCGCTTCCCCTCTGTATCTCTCTCTGGCGAGCACATGTGCCCTATTAAAAAAACCTTAAAATATTGGTATAGGGACCAGCAGTTAGCGTAATGGCTATGTCGCTGGACTCCCACGTAGTCGACCACAGTTCGCATCCCGGACCTGGTGGCTTAAAACTCATGCCGGGCGTGTGTGTGTGTGTGTGTGTGTGTGTGTGTG